CCGCACATGATGCACAAATTATTGCCTGCCCGCTCTCACTCGCATTAAAAAACACCACCTCGCAGAACGTAAACTCCGGGATAATTTATCCGACTCGCGGGCAGCCGTGAACAACTATTATGTCAGGTAGACTCCCGGAACTTCCAGGAGGCTTGGGATGTCTGTATTAACCAACCTGAAGGTGTTAGGATTCTCAAACTGAAGCTGTTTTTTTTTAAACTATGGTAATCAAATTCAGTAATGAAGTCCAACATTAATGTGAAGTAAAAATGTGCACTGAGAGCTGATATGCAAGGAAGAAACGGTTTTATTTTACTCTGCAGAGGAGAACGACACGACAGCTGACTACAGCTCTCAGTGTGGCTCTGGGGTGGTAGCTTCCCACCCCTGCATATAAAGAGACTCCACACGCATGAACATTGTTTCTTCAGTTCATCAAGAACATACATGTAGTCAGATAAACACTTCAGACAACTGTTTCCCATCCATACCAGAAACGGGATGTGAGAACCTTGAACTCAGTGAGGACATTCTTATCTAAACTAGGGAGGCAACTTTCTTCTTCTCAGGCTTCTAAATAATCACCCTATTCAGGCAGAGAAAAGGCACACTTTTAAACATTTAATCTCACAAACAGGAAAAATATGATTCCACATTAGCTAAATACATTAACATTATTTTCTCTTTGGTTTAAAGGTATTGTGGAGGATTTTTTAAAAGACCCCCCCCCCTCCCTCCACCTTAAAAAAAGGCACATGCAAGAGCATGCATGAGCTAATTTCTGCTTGTGCACGCCATGTTTAAAATAAATGCTGTTCTCATAGATCATACAACTGTACTTTCTCTACATACAGCGGGGACTATAGTGGACTTTATAGCAAACCCAGTTAACTGACCGTTTGGACAGATGACCATTGCTTTTTGCTCAGTTGGTCACTTAACTCCTCCTCCTCCGCGTGGTGCCTGCGCCATCCATGTCATTAGTCGCCGCTGTTGGGTAGCGACAGCCTTTGGCCACAGGGGGCCGCTGAGACAGCAAATCCCATAGTGCTGGGATATATCTGCCTCTACTGGGGCCTTTTTTTCTTCTCATACACTTCGTAGACACTATTTCTCTCACGACCCTCAGCCATTTTCAAAGAACCGCGGTGAGAAAGGTGAGCTTATTTGATTGTCGGAAACCATAGCTCACCATACATATGCGGCTGAAAGTGCACATGTGCAGAAAAAGATAGCTAATGGGGCCAGCACTTAGGAGGGCCTTACATAAACATATCACCAGAATGATTGACAATTAGGAGGACCACTTATTTAGATGATCCCCCCGAAAATAAAAGATTGTCCGCTATATCTTTAAGCTTTTCAAGTATATTGAACTGTTATGTAGAAATTTACTGCTGGTTGTTTATGGGCTTGTCAGAGCACTAAAGGCTTTGTTAGTTGTTGTAATTGATCCAGTAGGGAGAGGACAGGAAGCGTATCTTATCTAAACATCCCAGCCTTAAGAGGCAAAGCTCACAGTCATAAAGCTGGACTGGTAGCTTCAGCAGACAAGAGGAATACTTTTTCTCCCAACACCGGCAAGTAGACTTTATGACATCATATTTACTATAAGGAATCAGGATTGGTTATCTTTGGAATCCCTTTTCTCCAGATCATCTTTTAGGACTAACCGTGACTACAATATTTGGTGTTCATATGCATGTTTACAAGTTTAAATGCTGTTATTGTAACCTGATAAACCACAATAATTGAAGCTTAATTCTGGATTTCATTATTTTATTGTAAATGAATCCTCATCTTTCTGATCCTGATTCCTTCTTGAAACAACCATAGGTTTGGGGAAAAGAAAGAAATGCATAGTATTTTTTTTATTCAGGAGACTTGACCAAACCACTTTACACTTCAATGAGTCATTCATACACTGATGATGGGAAGCTACATTGTAGCCACAGCTGCCCTGGGGATCACTGACGTAAGCGAGGCTGCAGTCCAGAGGTGCCACTGAGCTCTCTGACCTCTATGATTAGACAATGCAGTTGAACTCCTTCATCTGATGCCACTGTCGCCCCATACAAGTAACAACTTGATGATTTTCTTCATTGACAT